ATACTGTCATTGTTCCACCTGTCAGGCGACAGCGGCGCGAAGAGGTCCGGTCCCAGAAATGGCGTGGCTTCAGGCCACGGAGCCGCAAGTACCTGGCTCCTTGGTCTTCAGAGCAAGCGCGGGCAGAGAGCTCCTGTCAGACGCACAAGGAAGGCGAGCAGCACGTTGCTGCGGCATCCAAGTCAGCTGGCTTCTTGCTGGCGGTGAGTTCTGGAGGACTTATGTAGCCACCTCTTTTTTGATAGGCATGCTCAGCATGTGGTGCGTAGGTAGATTTGGCCTTGGCTCATGTTTCTGGTCAAATCATCACAATCTCCTCGCACTCACCCCTGCCAGGAATGATTGTCGATATTCAAGAGCTCGTGTGTGCAGAAAGCTTATCCCAACGTTATTGTTTTTTGAGTACATTGGCAACTCGCTGGCCACAGCTGGCCATTATTTGCCACGATGACGCATGTCATCTCAAGCTCTTCGCGCTCCAGCATCGGCGCAGTACTGCCGTAGCGGAGCGATTGGCAGCAATGGATTACATTGTAGATCGCTTTCATGCGCCTGGCCATTGTGGGGAATATTGCGCGCAGCATTGCTTACCAACCATTGAAGACAACAAGCGCTTGCTTGGAACTTTTCCGACCGAAATCGCAGAGATCGTAAACAGTGAAATGACCCCACTTGGTCATACCATTCACCACATGGGCAAGTTTTTTGCGCAACTTGTCGTCAGCGAATGCACGGATGTGCATAATCTGAGTCGCCTCCTGGCCTTGCGTGACAAGCAGCGGGCAGACGCTAAGAAACGTGGACGAGGCACAATCCAACCTTCTCTCCGACCTTTCGTTTTCGAACTTCTCATGAACTCATCCATGCACACGGTTTCAGGTAAACAGTACAGGCAACCATATGAAAGAAAGGGAAACATTCGCATTCCCGCAAGAGTTCTTTGCGCTTGTCGACGATTTCCTTCCAAATTTTGAGTTACGTTGTTGTCACTCGATAAAACACACGGGCGACCAGCTTTGACAGGATGACGCGCCATCACTACTGCTGCAGAGGCCATGCTGTCTCCTTTTTTACATACATTTACATTACATTTGTATAAATACGAACGTGGTATCAAATCCTTCTCCGACCCCGAAAAAGACATATTTCTCATCCAAGAACAAGTGGGTATATGTCAAAAGATTGAAGGGATGATAGTTGTTTTTTGTTTATCATGGTCCTTCATTGTTCATTACATAGTTAACATAGTTCATGCCCATCACCATGGAAGTGTTGCCCTTTGGGGTCTACTTGGGGAGTGGTGTGCACACAGGATTTTTATGGGGTATTGTAGAAAGGAATATCATGGATGTATAAAGTCAACCACAATGATGAGATGGTAGAGATATCCTTAAAGAAAACAAGGAATATGACAGCAGTAGTAGATGTGGAGCCTAATCAGAAGGCATCGCCGTATTCGGGCATACCTTTTGGTTAGTTTTTAAAACGTACCGAAATAGGCATTTCCACCGAGATTGTGTGAGGATATACAATATCAGGATGTGCAATAGTATATAATGGGGTAGTGGGTGTTATTTGAAATTTATTAACACTAGATATCATGCACATATTCAGCAAATAGCCCATTTGTGGTCAGCCATATTTACATTGCTTCAAAACGGGTGTTATCTACCGTTTCACTGAGATATTCACGAAAAATTCGCCATGATATGTTGCTAAATGTAAGCATACAAGCATGAATAAATAGCTGGGAAATAGATAAATAAGTAAATTATTTCCATCTCCTTGTTACCATTACCATTACTTCAACAATCATCCGAAAATGTGACTCGCGCGTCACTCCTGATTTATGCTGGATTCTCCATATGTGATTGTCTGAAATTAGGCACCATTTAATTCATTATATATCTGTCCATAGACTCACCCATTTAAATTCCAATTCGGACAATGTTTTTTTGTGAGAAATGAATTCATATCTACATACAGTGTTCATAAGCTCTTCTAAAGCCTTGTAAGGCCATTTACCAAGGCTGACGATCTCCCTATCCAACCTATAGTTGTATTCCCATGTTTTATCCTCATGTGTATGTTGGGGTCCCCTACAGCTTCTTTGTAGTTCCCATGAGATGTCCAAATATAAAGTTTGAGGTCTCACGCACCTGTTTTTCTAATTTTGTACAGCCTCACCGAGTGTGATTCCGGGCATCATATTCAGGTTCACACCTGCCGCACTGAGACTGGTAGCAGCGAATCGTGAGTTTTGATCGCTTGAGCCTGCCGCGTTAGACCCAACGGCAACGTTTTTGCCATTTATATATATATATATATCTATCTATCTATCGATCTATCTATATTCCGAGAACCTAACTGTACCTATTTATATATATATATATATCTCTATATATATATATATCTATATTGCAATTTTCTATGTGTCACTTTTGGTTCCTTTAAAACAGTAGATTGCGCCATGCCTGGCTCTGATGAATTATTGCCATGGCTGACAGCTGACCTTGCTTTGGGCTGTGCAGGTGCTATAGTTTAGTCCCATTTGCCTGACTGAGTGGAACTAGGGTCGCTGAACATGACCTGCTGTGATTTCAACAGGGGAAAGGTTTTGATGTTTCTGCATCATCGTTTTCCGTCACCAGCTTCAAGATATTCAAGCGTAATAAGTCGGTGAAACCCAAATGGGACATTTCAAGTCGCCAGACTACTTGGATCTCCGGATTTCGCTCACGGGATCCAAATGGCAATGCTTGACCCGAACCAAAGCTTTGACAAAAGAGGCAAGAACTGAACTGCATGGAGTGATCGTGTTGTTTTGAAGGGGAATTAGTTTATACATCATGTGTGTAGGAATTAGCACACAAATCGATGTTTCTGCTTGGGGCATACTGACATACTTGAAATTGGCGGTAAGCAAATTACAATCAACTTCCAATGCTCTCCTCCCCACCCACAAATCCCGGCCAACCGGCCATCCGGCCATCCGGCCACGGCCGCCCGGCCACACCCACCCACCCACCCGCCCACCCAGCCATCCGGCCACCCGGCCACCCGGCCATCCGGCCACCCGGCCATACGGCCACCCGGCCACGCGGCCACGGCCTTCCGGCCATCCGGCCACCCGGCCACCCGGCCACCCCGGCGGGACCACCCGGCCACCCGGCCACCCGGCCACACAGCCACGGCCACGCGGCCACGCGGCCACGCGGCCACGCGGCCACGCGGCCACGGCCATGCACGAAAAAAATCTATCCTCAAACCATGTTAAACCACCACTTTTGATGGTTAAATCATCTTGGATGTTGCAACGTCCCCATTTTGATGTGGCACCAACAAAAACCGTTGGCCTTTCTTGGTCGCGTTTTTAGGACCTGACCTTTGAAGCGATGAGAAGCTTGGGCCGCCGATGGCTAGATGGCTAAGTTGGTGAACATACCTCTAGCTACAAGGTGGTGCCCCATAGTTAGCTAAGTTGATTTATAGCTCCAATAACTATGGTTTATGGTAATGATATATCTATAGTTAATGGAGTTTATAAACCAACTTATATATAACTATTGTGGTTCAATACATACCTCCAATAATTATGATTTATGAATGAATGTTTATGATACTTATAGCTATAGTTTTCATCGGGTGAAATTCTAATTTGGCTTTTCAAATTACCCTCTGGTAAACGTTCACCAAAAAACTATGGACAGATCCACCATGCTATTAATGGGACAACTCACTATTTCAATGGCCATTTTCCATAGCTTTTGGTACGTTCACCAGAGGGTATAATACGCAAATAACATCAAATAACTACAGTCAATGGGGTTTATTTCAACCAATTTATAACGTTTGGGGCCCCACAGCCAGTATGGCTGTGGATCAATAGCTATACAATTCCTTCGGGGATGAATATAAAAAAAACATCCCAGCTATGATGTGAACAGAAGGGGTACAGTACTGTGTTTTGACTACCCACATGATTGTTGAAAAACTATGTTCAATGGCCATTTCAGGATCCTAAATTGGAGGTACCTACCATATATAAGGCAGGATCATTCCTCCATTTTAGGATCCTGGAATTCCCATTGAAATGTTGAAGAAAAAGGGCAAACAGTTTCATGCTAAGTATTTTTAGTATCACAACTCTCCAGAACTCACCCAACAAACAAGAAAAATCTCTCTTCTGTAGCATACTGAGATGCAACTTTTCGGGACTGTGGCGAAAAACCAGGAACACTGCTCGACAGAAATGTCACAGGTATTTCAACTGCAAATCGTCGGATTCGATTCCGGATGGTTTGTTTGTGGTCAGACGTTTTTTGTTTCCAATGTTTTATTTGGGTTGTGGTTGTGGTTGTTGTTGTGGTTGTGGTGGTTGTTGTTGTGGTTGTTGTTGTTGTTGTGGTTGTGGTGGTTGTTGTTGTGGTTGTTGTTGTTGTGGTTGTTGTTGTTGTTGTTGTCGTTGTTGTTTTCCAAGCATCATCTGATCGTTTGGGTTGGATCAATGTTCACAACTGAACTTTACAGAAGAAGAAAGCGTGAGATTTGATGGTTGCAGAGTACTATCAATGGAACCATCTGGTATTTGGATTTACCATCGATATGCATCTGGTATTTGATTTACCCTTCAAACTGGTCTGTTGGTATTCGATGGTTTCACAGACTGGAACCATCCTCGGAGAGTTTTTCGTTGTTTTTTTTGGGGGATTGGAGTGGTGAGCACCATACACCTCCCACGAAATATTGGACTTAGTAGGAGATCAGCAAACCACAAAGTGTTTGATTTGCTGAAAAGCCTATAAAATATGGTTTGATCAAATGATCAGGATATGGTTTGATCCTATTTTATACAAGTGGTTTGATTTCTCTATATATATATATACCTTATATAAAATGATGATGGACCAAAAGATGTGACGGCTGGAAAGCCTCTTTTATGAATGGTGGTATACCGGAAATGACCGGTCCTTTTTTTTGGGCCCTTAAAGTGAGCTGAGGAAAGATCATCAAGAAGTTCGACAAGAGGTTTCATTGTCGATTTCAAGAGAAGATAGGCGGGCGAGTCCCGGACAGTGCTGCACGCGATGTTTGATATTGTTTCAGTCTTTCCGGATCTTGGTGAACTTGCGATGTTCTATGATTTTATTATTTTCTTGTCATTTTCTTAGGAAATTGATGAACATTATTTTTCATGACAGGCCGGGATAGTAACTTGGGGTTTAACGGTGCCGAAAATTGATTCACAATTTCACGAGGGGCCCTGGCCTTGCCTGCCATCGGACAAGCTATGAGGTGGATAAGGTGGTGACCCCCCATTTTTGTGGGTTTTATGTTAGCTTCTTTAACTAGTGCAAAAAAACAAAACTACGAAGCCAACAGTTAAGTTTGAGTTATGGTTTGAGTCTGAATATTTATCCCATATGCTCCATGGTGCTGGAATATTTACCTACATTTGGGTGATTATTAGGGCAAATGTAGGAACATGTTCCAGCACCATGGTTCGCATATGGGTATGATATTTACCAACTTAGCGATGCCAACTGGGACACCATTTTGTAGTTTCTCAACTTCGGGGCCTTGTGAGAGTCGGACACCACGACTTTTCCGTACATGGTCCACTTGCTGGGTACTGGTAACATCGTGGAGTCGACAAGTAAATCATCATGGAAGTAGGAATTAACCTTTGGTAAACGAGCACAGCGATTTTTCAATTCACCTTTTCAAAATGCTGATTTTTCCATAGTTATGTGACACTTTCCCAGAGGGTAGATGCAAAAAAATGGTGTCTTTAGATCATTTCTCCATCTCTTTTGTGACTCGTCACATCTGGTGTAGCATGGTGTTTTTGGTATTTCCTAAGGTCCTAAGAAATACTGAAGATCATTTGATGAGGCGTATACCGTGTTTTTATGTGCAATGATTTTTGAGATTTTAGAAAACATCCTCGTTGTAGCTTGGATGGACATATCATATGTCGATTTTTGTGTGGGTTACATTCACAGTGGGCTAGGTTTCGAACATGTTTTATTTTTATTCTGTCTGACAAAATGAGCTGGCAGCCCGAAGCGCCTGTCATTTTTGTTGGCAAACAGATTGTTCTTGATGAATCGGTATTTTCGGTATCCCCTTTTTGTTGTGGTTCATATCCGTGTCATATTCTTGTTGTATATTGTTGTTACTTACATCCCAGAAACCCAAGAGTTGGGTGTTTTTGGGAACATTTGGAGAAAGGAAACCAATTTCCACAAAATCCAGGGTTTCCTGTAAGTCTTCCCCAGCTGAACTGTTGGAGGATCCAACTTAGTACTCGTAACTCCCATATAACAGCTCACCATGGTGCTGGAATATTTATACATACATATACCAACATTTGCACGAACAAAATCATCCAGTTTTGTACTGGTTGGTGGTTTCAAAGATGATTTTTTTTTCCATAATGTTGGGATGTCATCCTTCCCATTGACGAACTCATATTTTTCAAGATGGTGGCTCAACCACCAACCAGTGTAGGTTTTTGTATACCAGCCCCATGGTTCGCATGCCGATAACAAACCCAGCCTGGTGATCGGATTCGTGGACAAAATTCACCTGGTATGATCTCATTCGGCATCACCAGTTGATTAAAAAAAGGTCTGTGGAACGATTTCATCCATAGATATCAGTGGAATCAGCAAATTTAATGACATCTTTATAAAATGATTCAGTCACCATTTAAGATTGTATTCTACTTAGTGATTATCTATTGAATCTATTATGACTTAACCAATAATGGTTAGTTAGACCCATTTGATTAACCAATTGATCTTACAGAACAGGGTCATAACTCCCTTTACTATCCTTTACTTAGGTCATCACTATAGTGGAATAATAGGTGATTACTAACCATTTGATTGTATTATACTAAGTCACAAGATGTCATAGCCCCCTTTAGGTCATATTAGGTCACATCCCATGCTTTATTTTCACTACAGGATGGAGAAAACCAGTTATGTGAATGTTGGTTTATAAACTGCATGAAATAACCTCCATTAACTATAGTTACTGGTTGGTGGTTTGGATCATTTTTTATGACTGTCCATATATTGGGAATAATCATCATTAATCATCCCAACTGACGAACTCCATCATTTTTCAGAGGGGTAGGTATACCACCAACCAGTGGAACATTCATGGATAATAATGGTATAATGGGATTTCTAGGGGATAATAATCGATGATATAGGTGGATGTACATCTACCATAAACCATAGAATTCAGCCACTTTTTTTTCGGCAACGATTCACGCGTTTTCGAAACAACGGGGGGCCCCATCCTGTAAGAAAATCCAGAAGATCCCCCAGCCCCAGCGCGAGACTCGAGGTATGCCCGCGCCTGCGCAACAGCTCGTCACCTCAAAGGAGTGGTTTTTTTTATTGGAAAAATGGTGGTTTAACTATGGAAAATGGTGAAAAATGGTGGTCTAACTATGGAAAAATGGTGGTTTCACTATGAAATGTATAGTGGTTTACCTCGCGAAATGTGGGGGGTTCATCAATGCATAGTGGAATATTTTCTAATATGGTTCTGTTTCTCGGTTCCCCCATCTGACGAAATGTGCGCACCAATAGGTCAAGTTTTACTTCGATTTCCGATTCTTTGTTGCTGACAATTTCCCATTCTTTTGAAAACTCTATCAGTTCATTCTTCAGCCTAGGGTAGTTCAACATTAATTTTGTTTGCCATAATGGCTTTACTACAGCTGGTTGGTGGTTTCAAACATGAACTTTATTTTCCATTTCATATATGGGATGTAATCCTTCCCATTGACTTTCATATTTTTCGGAGGGGTTGAAACCACCAACCAGTTTATATATTTATATAACAGTTTGTTTTCGTTTCCACATTGGTTGGTTTTGATCATCCTATCATCCACTAGGGGCGTATTTCAAGTTTGGAAATTCCATGTCATGTCCTTTTCCCATTGGTTGGTTGACAGTAATCAACCTACAAACATCTTATTCTTTGAGCATATCGAAGATTGGCCATGTGAGTCGTGAGTCGGGTGGTCCAAAGATTTCACGTTGCTCTGGGCCTCTGGGCCCCCAGATTTCACTGTAGTTGCTGGAGTGATGTTTACCAACTTATCTATGGGAGATCTCCAGGATCCTAAAATGGAGGTACGTTAGTACCATATGTTTGGCCATATTTTGTGGTGATATTCACTTACATAGGCCTTATATAGGCCTTATATATGGTAGGTACCTCCATTTCAGGATCCTGAAATTCCCATTGAACTTAGCCAACAATTCCATCCCAATTGGGATGATTAATCACCAAAATTGGGATAATTGGGATAATGGGGATGTTAATGATGATTTATCTCAATCCCAATTTTGATGATTAATCCCCATTATCCCCATTACAATCCATCCCTATATGTGACAATGAAATATGGTTAAATCCCTTAGTAATTGCCATACATACGCCAAGAAATCCCTGCTTCATATCAATCCTGATTTTTGATAATGAACTTTTCCAACTTTTCAGTGGAGAAGCACCGTATTGGCTTTTCGCGCAGGACATCTCTGTTCGCCTGCTTCAGCCTGCGAACGAATGCTTGCGACAGATGCAGCTCTTTAGTGGGGAAGCCCACATCGACAGTTGAGTCACTGAGATGTCCCCAATGGAAACGATGACCCCATAAAAAAATAGCCATTTAGAACTGGCTTCAGGGCTTTATCTGTAGAATAGTTGAGGAATGTTGAGGATTTCCGGTGATGTAAGATGTACTGTAACCAAAATGTAGATGTCACTGATATCCTATGCAAACCGGGTGATATTTTTGTGATATTTATATAACAGTTTGTTTTCGTTTCCACTTATTGGTTTTGATCATCCAGCCTTATCATCTACTAGGGGGGGTATTTCAAGTTTGGAAATTCTATGGAATTGTTCAGTCTTCCTATAGATACCCAATGATACCAACAGTAACTCATTAATCCAACAGCAAGGTGGTGTCCCCGGTCCTTAACTAAGCTGGTTTATATCTCCAATCCCTAGGATGTATGGATGTATATGGAGGTTTCCTGAAATGGGGGTACCCCTAAATCATCCAGTTTTGTTTGGGATTTTCCATTATAAACCATCCATTTATGGAAACCCCATATGGTAGATATATTATATATCGATCCAATTAAGGTAAAGACGGGATAACAGCAACAATTTTTACCAGCCTAACAACACCATGCGGGAATGTTCCGTATATACATGTGATATACAATCAAACATGGCTTGCTGGAAAACCCACCATCGCCTTCCTCTGCAGGGGATATGTGTGATTACCGGGTAAATCAATCCATCAATATGAAATTATTATCCATTAGTATCCATTATATACATGGAAGTAGTGCTCCATTATTACAACAATCAATATTCCATTATCGATTACTACAACCATAAATTATTCCATTATTATTCCATTATTATGAATGATTAAGCCGTTCTTCTCATTATGCCATTATTATCCCTATTACCAAACCATATAAAACCATATAAACCATATAAAAACCACACAAAACCATATAAAAATTCATTCTTATCCCTATTACCAACCATATAAAAGCCACCATTATTATCATTATGCCAGTATTCAACATATTAAACTCAAACCATATCTGGTTGGTGGTTTCGAACATTAATTTTATTTGTCCATAATATGTGAGAATGTCATCATCCCAACTGACTTTCACTCCATCATGTTTCAGAGGGGTAGGTATACCACCAACCAGTTATCATTACCCTCTGGTAATTTAACATAGCTATTGAAAATCACCATTTTTAATGGGAAAATCCACTATTAATGGTCATTTTCAATAGCTACGTTAAATTACCAGAGGGTATGTCAGTATTAAACATACGTATTAAACTCAAATCATATTGAAACATATAAAAACCACACATCCACTTCCCCAGGATGCACCGCTGCCGTCGCTTTTTAGGCACTCTGTTGGGTCACCCGTCGCTGGCCACGCGGCTTCACGTTGAAAGACCGCTGCTACAGCTGAGACAGTGCCATGGTGCAAGTTACCCTCAGGTAAACATACAAAAAACTATGGAAAATCACCATTCTTATTGGGAAAACCATGGGAAAACCATGGGAAAATGGTAATTTATATGGAAAAACACCATCTTTAATGGATAAATCAACTATTTCGACTGGGCCATTTTCAATGTCGCAAACTGTTATATAAATTACCAGAGGGTAAGCGATGCCGTCGTGGATGCTACAACAATTGGACATGGATAATCAACAATAATAGATCATTAATAATAATCTGGGTAAATTATAACGACCTCACTGTTCTCCCTCACTGGAATCCTGGTTAATAAGGGAAATCATCCCCAAATGGCCCAACAATTCAGATTAGTGACATATTATAAATTAGCCAGAATATTGGATACCCTCCGGTAAACTAACATAACCATGGAAAATCACCATTTTCTATGGGTAAATCCACGAACAAAATGGCAATTTTCAATAGCTATGTTAGTCATAACCAGAGGGTAGTAATGATAAGGGATGATAAGGGATAATAAAGGATAAGAATTGATAATAAGAATGGTAACAAACATGATGGGAACATTGGAATCCTGGTGATTGGCATATGTTGCATGGTTTAACCGTTTAACCTGCTTTGATGTGGTAATTATCTTAGTCTGTAGGGATACCAACATTACCAGAATTTTAGAAGGGACGACAAAAAACATCCGAAAAAAAACGGGGCTCCAAATTCAAAAAAACACGGCGAACGTATTTTCCTAATATATATATATATATAATATGGATTAAATCGGATAATCCTTCCCATTGATTTTCATAGTTTTCAAGATGTATACCGGTACCAACCACCAACCAGCTGAGGTTTACCTTTTGGCTCCGCGAATTGGAAAATGGCCTTCAACTTTTGGGCGTCCACATCACCGGTGAAGGCCCAGCGTTGGTGCCAGCATTGTTCGGTGATCAAAAACCAGGGTGGATTTACAGCAACATGACTCTTTCATATGGAATCAACTACTGGTTGGTGGTTTCAAACAGTTTTTTTATTTTGTCCATAATATATGGGATAATCCTTCCCATTGACTGTCATCTTTTTTTTCAAGATGGTTAAAACCACCAACCAGATTAACACTATTCAGAATATTCAGATGAACACTGGTTTTCGACAAAGGGACTGTTTTTTTTTGTACCTGTTTGCTCCATAGAGCTGGCAAAATCAGAGATGGCCGGCGAAAAATATTTTGTTTTTTTTTTTGCATGGCAACCTTTCCCAACCTTATCTTATCTACCAGGTGTTTACTTTATAAACACTATTGCTGGCATTCAAAATCAGATCTTGACATCTTATGATGTATATTCATATGTATACATATATATATATATACATGTGTGTGTAAAGAACACACACACACATAGTTTCGAGTCTTTCCATTGTCAGCTTAGCTTACCGCCTGCGTTTGGAGTTGAAGCGGACCCCAAATTGAAGATGGGGTAGCTGCGGGTAATTTCACATAGGTATTTACAGTGTTTCATACAAAGTGGGGCCCCCTAGATGGCTAAGTTGGTTTATAACTACGATAACTAGGGTTTATGGTAGTTATAACTATAGTTAATGGGGTTTATAAACCAACTTATAACTGGGGGGGCCACATTGTAGGTATTTACAGTGTTTCATAGGACTCCCAATAGTTACCCTGCCTGGTGCAGGATTTCTTCCATCCACAGTATCTCATGATATGTCATTATACTCCCTGGTAAACTCACATAGCTATTGAAAATGGTCATAGAAAAGTTGATTTACCCATTAACAAATGACTGAAATGACCATTTTCCATAGCTATGTTACAAATTACCAGAGGGTATACGAAAACCATCAGGGCGCCTAATAAATTGAGTGTAAAGACCTCACATCTCGAACTCACACGTGAAATGAGAGTCAATGTAAGGGGACCTATCCCAACATGGCTGAACTTTCAAGTTACTGAATTGTTACAACTTCTGGACATCCTTTGCTAATGTTCGATCCTATTTGGATCTATTTAGTGAAGAAACAAGAACATGTGCGGGAACAGAAGTGTAGAACTTTGGGGATGGTTCATACCACAGCTGTGGAAAACAAACTTGTTCTATGTAGATCATCGAACTGAATGAGCCATGTTCAATAGCTACTTGTTAGTTTTCCGGAGGCTAGATGTGTTTTTTTTTCGCCCTCCATTCCTGTGAGCTGTGGGAAACGTGCCAGGAGATGATTGGTCCACCTGTGTCAAGAACACCTTTATCGAAGTGAGTAGCTCGGGAGAATGCACGACGGATGGTCCATGATGGTTTGTAAGGTACATGGAGATGTCCTAAGTATTCCTAAGTCATGGGGGTACCCTGAATCACCAAAGTTATATATTCCAAAGTCCTTAGTCTGAAAACAACCATGGTAAAATGGGGTTCCCCAATTTTTAAGAAACCCACATTTCTGGTGGGGTGCCCATGAAATCTCCCAGATAGAGACCATACCAGATCTAGCCAGTTTGATGGGACATTTCGAAGTCAAGTCACTGCTTAGCAACTGCCCAGTTTATTTCGTCCACGATTGCAACCACTCTCCAGGTCACTTTGAGTATCATCTGAGTACTGGTTGGTGGTTTGGAACATGAATTTTATGACTTTCCATTCAGTTGGGAATGTCATCATCCCAACTGACGAACTCCATCATTTTTCAGAGGGGTAGGTATACCAACCACCAACCAGTTAGTATTATGATACCCAAGGAGATTCTCAAGGGTCATCAACTGTGTTTTTTTCAGGAACCAGTGTCCCCTCCAGCCAGTATTCCCTATCCAACTATCAACATTTCATAGAAATAGCAACCCAGAATCATGGTTTAACCTTGGATCTACTCAGTTTGGGCTCATCCATATGAAGGAATTTCATTGGGGAGATGTGATTGGTAAGGGCTTGAGGGAAGAAGTGAGTTGCACCCCTCCCAGTAGCCCCCAAATTGGGGTGACATCCCAAGAAAGAACATGTTCATCTGGTTGGTGGTGACTGGAACATATGCTCCATGTATGGAATAATATGGTTTATAGCACCTCAGTATATGATTATATATATATATGTATATATATCTGGTTGGTGGTTTGGAACATGAATGGTATTGTTTTCCCATCATATTGGGAATTTCCATCCATCCCAACTGACTCCATCATTTTTCAGAGGGGTAGGTCAACCACCAACCAGAAGAACATGTTCATGCATTCTGCTCATTTTTTGAATGTGAACTAGAGGCTGCCACATTGGTTGCAGAGGACGATTTTCCTCAAATTGATATCAGAAATCGCTGCCAGAGGCTTTTTCACAACATGTACCGGTCGATGGTTTCCAAAATGCGTACCCAAATGCTGGTCATTTCCACAACGTTTTCTACTTGTGATTGATGAAATCCATTTTTTTGGTTGGAACTCACGCATTTGTCCACCAGAACATATTCCACATTATTCCACTTGCTGTTGCTTGATGTTTATCCCTTTTTAATGGCATACTGTATATATTATTCCAGTTTTTTCATGTCACATGTCGACTCCTGAAGCAAATCCGAGCCATACTCATATCCTGAAAACGTTCAACGTGTTTCAATCTCTGCATGTTTGCGTGTGATGTACAAACGTCAATGCTGGGAAAACCTTGGTTTCATGGGTGGATTTCTGATAGTTTCTGCCAGAAACAGGGAGGACTAGCATATTTTGCTGAATACTACCCTCCAGCAAACATACGATAAGATATTAGGGAAAGCCATTGTTTCTATAAGTTCCTGGAAGATTATCTACGTTCATAGTTGGTGATTCAATTGCTATAGGAAGATTGGTTGTTAATCACCTTCTTGGTTGACCAATGGTCCCAGCGATTTTTATGATGATGATGTAACAATGTTTGGTGGTTACAGAAAGTCCCCAGTTTTAACGAATGCATTCCCAGTATCATCACTGCACTGATCAAATCCGATGCGATGGTAACTTGAAATCTGAGAGAGGCGTATTTTCCCAAATGGCTATGGATCCATACCTATAAAAGCCTATACTGGTTGGTGGTTTGGAACATTTTTTATAGCCATAGGATAGCCATTCCAGTGGCTTAATCATCATCCCTAGTCAGATAACCATAACTGGTTGGTGGTTTGGAACATGAATTTTATGACTTTCCATAATATATTGGGAATAGTAACCCCAACTGACGAAGTCATATTTTTCAGGGGGGTAGGTCAACCACCAACCAGTATAAATAGCATGTTTGGGGGAATGTACAGCCATTTACGAGCCATAAAAACAAATAAACAATATTGGAACTGATTATCACGCTGGTATATCACAAACCTTACACACACATATATTTATATATTATCTAATGTTTTACATTGCATAATTGCTTCCATATATTGGATCTGTTTTCCTTACATCACGGCAGGGCTTAACTATTTTCCCACATTTCTCATGAATATTTACTGTATACAAAATGTTTTCCCATTATTTCCCATGATTTAGTGGCCATACCAATGTAATCTGCCGGCATTGGGCAATACATACACCATGAATGTACCATTTCATGAGTCTCAGCATTGCTTGAAGTATAACCATTCTAATTCAGCCAGATTATGTCCCATTAATATATATACCATGATTTTTCCCAGATTATTCCATGGTTTTCCCAGATGATTCCCAGATTATATATACCATGTTGCATGGAATATTCCATGGTTTTTAGAAATTTCCCATGTTTTCCCATGTTTTCCCTAATTTTGGTCGCCATATATTTGGGATGTCGCCATAGCCGCCATGGTCACCATGCCGCCATGCCATGCCATGCCATCGCTCCGCCGAGACGAGCATGGTGAGTCGCCGCTGCGACGAAGTCGTGCCAAGTCTTGGTGTGCGCAGGCGATGAAAGCCCACTCTTCTTACTGGTGCTTAGTAGGGAATGGATGGGAATGGGGGAATGGGATGATTATTACTAGAGGGTATTGATTGTTAATGATGATTCCCCATGGTTAATGATCGTAGATGATTATTTGAGCTGTCAATGGGGACTAGTCCATAGATGTCCCAAATTCCCATTGGTTGGTTGATGAAAATAGATGGCTTTGAAGGTTTACCCCGAAAAAACAACAGGTTTCTATGATGATAGATGGGATTCAAAAACCGGCCCATCTATTTTTACCAAAAGGACATCCCATTGGTTGAAAGCCCACTCTTTTTCGCTTCGGTGATTTGAAACCGACATGGTGAAAAATGGTGATGAGTTAAACTGGTTGGTGGTGACTGGAACATCCATGGGAATAATATGGTTATCGGTTTATAGCACCTCAGTATATGATTATATATATATATGGTTGGTGGTTTGGAACATGAATGGTATTGTTTTTCCCATCATATTGGGAATTTCATCATCCCAACTGACGAACTCACTCCATCATTTTTCAGAGGGGTAGGTAAACCACCAAGCAGTAATACGTTTTTTTGTTATTTTCAGCATGTTTTACCATCGAAAGTGATGAACATGATGGTTTTACATTCAAACATGATGGCATTTACCCTCTGGTAAACTAACATAACTATGGAAAATCACCATTTTTAATGGAAAACTCACTATAAATGGCCATTTTCAATAGATATGTTAAATTACCAGAGGGTATCCATTAAATCATGATGCCCATGGGGATTTAATCAACAAACGATGGTGATATCATGGGGATATCAGGAGGGCCTGGCTGCAAGGATTGGTTTCGTGAATTCAGCAGTTGGCATCCCAGCCAGTTATCAGTGATCAGTTGGTATGGAATACCATAGACATATCCACCATAACCCCTAGTTAACCTACTGTAGAAGTCAACTTAGCGAAGTAGGGGGCCCGTCCTGTGTTTATTCGAGGGGAACACATGTTGAAGTTCAAGTTCACCAACAATTGTTACCCTCTGGTGAACTAACATAGCAATTGAAAATGGCCATAGAAATAGTGGATTTTCCCATTAAAAATGGTGATTTTCCATTGCTATGTTAAATTACCAGAGGGTAACTCAAAAATATATTGTAGACTAATTAATTAGTCCACACTACTATTGGATTTACCCAACTGTATCTTTCAAAACCCAGTCATTTCCCCCTCAAACCCGGTTGCATCCACTTTGAATCACATGATATGCTACCATCAACACGCAATTACATTTACATTCCCTGAAAGTCACATGTTTTTTTTTGAATACCCATTAGATCCAGCTTATATGTATGTCTCTGGTTACATTACTGATTGTTAATAAATCTTTTGACATGTTATAATGATAGAACAACGATCATATAATGATATAATGATTATTTGGAAATGATTCATTACATTAAACTACTACATCATTATATATATATCCTTAAATCATCTATATCACTATATTAACTACATATTACATTCCATCACTATACATCTCATTACATGTTACAGATACAGTTTTCCTGATTCTCCCAGAGAGATCCCCCAGTCTCTAAGAGAGATCTCCCACGCGCGCTAGATGGCGCTGCCTTCTGAGAGCAACGGGAGCCACAACTCCGACTATGAGGCGATCGACATAACTCGGCGGGGAGTAGCCATGGTCGGTGCCATGGTGCCATGGGGGTGGACCTGAAGTCATAGTTGTTCCCTGGTTGTTTCATGTGGCCCCATAGGATACCTCCACATATTTTCAGGTCATCAGCATTTTGACCAACCAAAATTCATTGAGATTTCACCAACCAAAATGATTCAAAAATGTGCCTGGAACATCACACCATTTGTTTAGGTAAGTCATCATAAATCATCTATAACCGGGCATTTTATAGCTATGTTAACCAGAGGATATGAATTTAGCCATGATCAATAACCCATTAACATTCATTAACATCTGAATGGGACAGATTTAGTAGTGTCATGGCCATTTAACTATGAAAAAATATGGGGATATAAGTCGATAAATTATAGTTGTTAGGTCATTGCAAGGAGTTGTATTACCTGGGTTATTGCTCATTATGAACCAACCATGACTACTTGGTGTCCCACTTAGTAAGTGGGTAATAACCCCAGTTATAAATGGGATAAGTAGGGTTAATCCACTGAAATCACTGGGGTTATAACCCACTTACGATTCGTGGGATTAGCCACCAAGTAACCATGACTAATCCATGTTTATGGGTTCAATGGTTCGATGCAACCGGAGAAACCATATCCCCAGAAACGGCTGAATTATGATCCTTCCACAAATGTTTTTTTCAACGAGGTATTTTTTTGTATAGTCTATATATGTCTATATGCTTGCCAAAAGTTGGGTTCAATGATATCCCATGACTGACTGGACTTTGCCTTATGAATTAGTCTATGGTTTAGCTAACAGTATATGAAAGATCAGAAATGGCTATGGATCATTACCCCAAAAACCATAGTTCTATGGGATGATGGTCTCCACAGTCGCGGCTTGAAACCACTGGCCAGATCTATGTTTCACGGTTTAATATGGATATCTCAATGGATTGGTTTTGTGTCGGGAAATCTTCACCGGAACCATCGATTTTCCCATTTTTTCTATGGGGGTGTCCTGTAATTTTTCCATCAATTGAGATATGGATCGTGAAACATTATGATTACCCTTTAGTTATTTAACGTGACGCCATGGAAAATCATCTATTTCAGGGGGCCCCTTGTTCCATAAATAACCAAAGGGTAACGGGCAGATTTTTCACGGGAGGATGGTTTTTTTTTGGGGGTCTCAGGCCATGATCCCTGTGATGTTCATGGGGCTCTCTACCGAAATCGGATCAATTTTTGATCCCATCCTGATCGTTGCTGGAAAGATGCCCATTTCTAGTGCTGAAAAAAATCTAGTGCTTGTTTCTTGCCATGGCTAGTGATAGCCAGTGATTTGGATGGGATTTGAACTAGGGATTAACAGTGATTTATCTGGTTGGTGGTTTGGAACATGATTCTATTTTGCACATAGTGGGAATTTCATAATCCCAACTGACGAACTCCATCATTTTTCAGAGGGGTAGGGCTCTACCACCAACCAGTTTAAATCCCAATTTTTATGGTGACAATCGGTGACATCCCATTTCTTGATGATAAAAACCGCCAAGTTTGGATGGAAAATTCACCTCCGTTGATGCGAACAATGTCAAGCCCAACAAAAATTCTGGAGAAAAAAAACCTATGAGGTCGAATATTTGTTAGTTTCTTAGGAACTAAGAGTTATATAGATTAGGTACTGTAAATTACTGTAATACAATTAATACTGGAATATTACAGACAGTATAGATCATGTTAGATAATGTTAGATAATGTTAGATATATCTACAATGAACCCAATAGTATAATTACAGTATAGGTACCCTCTGGTTATGACTAACATAGCCATGGAAAGATCCACCATGCTATTAATAGGTAAACCATCTATAAATGGGCCATGTTCCATGGCTATGTTAAATAACCAGATGGTAATTATAATGGAATATTATAGATATATCTACCATAAACCCAAGAGTTCTTGGAGTCAAGGACTTACCAACTTCGCGATGAATCGCACCACTTTGTACAAAGCCATATTAAACGAGATTCTAGTGATTCTAGTTGACATCACCATGGCTCAAACAATATAGTTCAATATGGTCTAATTAATACTCAGAAAACAATATAAAGCCATATACTGCAATATAGAACCATATAGAACCATATTTAAACCATACTATAGTTAGCTAACTCTAAACCCTCACGTTTTGATGCTCAAAAACACCCCCACCACTTAGAGCCGAATTCCCTGATGACATCATCCATTCCATTTTTGTCGAATCCACGACTGGCGGGCTTTGGGGCAGCATCTGGTTTGCAAGCTTGGGGGGAAATTCCATTTTTTCTTCCCCGTGTGTTGTTCTTATCCGATTTGACCGGGCCTGTGGTCAATTGATGTCAATTGCACCAGATCAGTAAATGTCACCCCGTCGCAAACCCACAGGCGGTAGAGCAGAAGGAGCTTAAGCCAATTTCTGACTTGGACGTTAACCCTGATACCTCTGGTTATTTAATATAGCCATGGAAGCCATGGCCCATAGAAATAGATGGTTTACCTATGACAAATGGTGGATCTTTCCATGGCGAACTGTTAGTCATAACCAGAGGGTAGATCCAAACAAGCCCAGGTTTTTAAACTGTCGAAGCTTCTTGGAGAAATTTCATGGAGTTGGTAGCTGGGTGGCTCTGTGGCCTTTCTACAGGAAAATTTCGGGCTCCAACCTTGACAACGGACCAGGAACTTGAAGCAGCTTATGATGGGACCCATTTCGCGCAAGGGGCCCATGTCGAACGGTATCAACGCGTGAATCAATACCTGGTCAGGATTGAAACCTTGCTAGGAGTGCAAGAGCAGTCGACTATTTTTTTTGACACAGGAAGCTTGAGTCCATGTTCAACGGAGCTCGAACACTCCATTTGAGCTCACCACAAAGTCTCTAGCAATGTGAAGCGGGCCATCTCCAGGCTCTTGACCCAGTCGCGGGCACGGCCGTTTTGACACAGCTGGCACTGATTAAACATGATTAAACCAACTATGATCCCTATTAAACCATATCAAACCATATTTAGTTGACATCACCATGGCTAAAATATGGTTTCATGCCCAAACCAACTATAGTTAGCGAAGTATACATTCCACTATGATCCCGTGTTTAAACCATATGAAATCATGTCAAACCAACCCAGATGCATGTATGGAATATTTACCAACATTTGCCCTAAAAATCAGCCAGTTTTGTAGGTAAATATAGAACAGGGTTCGGTCGTTATAATTACCATAGTAACCACCATGAATATCACTATAGTAACCACTATCAACCATTATCTAATTGGTGGTTTCAACCCCTCTGAAAAACAATAGTCAGATTGGATCATCATCCCAACTATTGGCGAAAATAAAATTCATGTTCCAAACCACCATATGGGTTATTAACCACTATGAACCATTATTAACCACTATTAATCACCATTAATCTGGATAAATTACTGTAGTACTCACTATCAATCATTATTAACCACTATCAACCATTATTACCCTCTGGTAATTTAACATAGCTATTGAACATGTACCATTACAATGTGGAGCCCCCCAGTTATAAGATGGTCTATGAACCCCATTAACTATAGTTATAGATACCATAAACCATAGTGAAATTGGAGTTATAAACCAACTTAGCTATCTTGGGGGCCCCACTTTGTAGAATATTTCAGAGTGAACTATCATAATTTACCATAGATTTACCATAGTTTACCATAGATTTACCATAGATTATTATATAACCACTATCAACCATTATTACCCTCTGGTAATTTAACATAGCTATTGAACATGTACCATTAGAAACCCTTGCTACTTACACGGCAAGGCGGCCAGCTCCGACGAGCCGCCGGAGCCCGCGAAGCCGTCGGCAACCACGGGCGCGACTGCTGGCGCCAGCAGCTCCAGTCGTCGCTCGGTTTAGTTCAACAGCAACGCGGGTTGGCTGGTGAGGCCCGGGAAATTTACCAGTGATTTAGCAGTTGATTATGGGAAAATCTACCGGAAACCATGGTTTTTACCAGTAAAATCCATTATTTACCATTACCCAGATATCCATCATCATTATCCATCAATAATCTATGGTAAATCTATGGTAAACTATGGTAAATCTATGGTAAATTATGATAGTTCACTCTGAAATATTCTACAAAGTGGGGCCCCCAAGATAGCTAAGTTGGTTTATAACTCCAATTTCACTATGGTTTATGGTACTTATAACTATAGTTAATGGGGGGTTATAAACCAATTTATGGGAAAATCTACACCGGAAACCATGGTTTTTACCATTAAATGGGTTTCCATGTTTTTTTTTTTAACCATTACCCATAGGATCCATGGTGCTGGTATATATGGTATGAATATACCCCAGTCATGTTAGCATATATACCAGCACCATGGATACTATGGGTTATGGGAAAATCTACACCGGAAACCATGGTTTTTACCATTAAATATGGGGTTTCCATGTTTTTTTTTACCATTACCCATAGGATCCCAGGTGCTGGTATATATGGTATGAATATACCCCAGTCATGTTAGCATATATACCAGCACCATGGATACTATGGGTTATGGGAAAATCTACACCGGAAACCATGGTTTTTACCATTAAATATGGTGTTTCCATGGGATTTTTACCATTGCCCATAGGATCCATGGTGCTGGTATATATGGTATGAATATACCCCAGTCATGTTAGCATATATACCAGCACCATGGATACTATGGGTTATGGGAAAATCTACACCGGAAACCATGGTTTTTACCATTAAATATGGATAATATGGGGGTTTCCGGTTAAAATTTTCCCATAATCCAATTCTATGAAATAGGGATGTAATAGGGATGTAATGGGGATATATTGGGGATATATTAGGGATATATTAGAGATATATTAGGGATGTAATGGCTGGTTGTTTACCAGTATTTAGCATAATCTATGGGATAGGTGGATAGGATTGAGATATATAATAACTGGTTGGTGGTTTCAAACATGAATTTTATTTTTCATAATATATGGGATAATCCTTCCCATTGACGAACTCATATTTTTCAAGATGGTTAAAACCACCAACCAGATAATGGGAGGTCGTAACTGGTATAGTTAACGAATGTGGTTAACAACATGGTTATCATTATGGTATAAGGTAATTCCATTTGATGGTATAATTATGGCTATATCACTGGTGATAATTAGGGTTATATCACTGGTTTATCGTTTATAACAATTCGGTTAGCATGGTAGAATACATGGTTTATTATTAATTATGGTACAATATGGTAATTCCATTTAACGTTGACGTGTTATTGATAACCCCCCAAACATTAAGAGCATCTAAATAAAGTTTAGGCCAAACAATGGCCTGGCGTCACTGGCAAATTGTCCAGACCTATGTGGCTTTGGACACATTGCCTAATTGAAGACGAATATACTTGGTGGCGAACTACCCACGAATCGTAAGTGGGTTATAACCCCAGTGATTTACATGGGATAAGTAGGGTTAATACACTGAAATCACTGGGGTTATAACCCATTTACTAAGTGGGATGAGCCACCAAGTAACAGATTCCCAAATGAATTGCCAAAGCGAGAAAACACAAATTTCATCCAGACATTGACATAGCTGCCAACCAATTCCTTTTTGATCTTGCGACAAAAGCAGGAGTCGGGATCGTGACGGCTGTTTCGGGTGGTGTGGCCACCGTGTTGACGGGTGATAAGAAAACCACGAAGAAAGCCACCGTGTCGAAAACTTGGAGACCGTGGGCTGAGAAGAAAGTCGCCTTCGGGCTGCTCCCCAACTCCGTTGTTGGCCATCTATCTCCTTGTATATTGTATCCCGTGAGATCATTTTTGATTGTGCAATTCCAAGTTGGATTGAAAAAAATGCTAAATGATGTGCCCAGGTATAAATTGAATAATAACCGTTGGAGCCTGGCTATAGTATGTTAGAGTCACCATAGGCTTTTAGTAAACATAGATATACTGTAAACTTTACCTACCTCCGGCACCACCCCGTAGATTCCACTGGTCGCGCAAACGCACATGTTACCAACCACTCTGCCATCTCTTCCTAGCACTGTATTGTTATTGAAAATTGCACAGGCGACAGGCCCATGGGACGCTGGCACCAAGTTGTAGGCACTAGGCCACATTCTGAGGACGATATCTCCGTTCGAGCATGCGAGCTCTAACCCCGGCGAAATGTGCCAGGACGGCATTGTCATAATCCTTGCTTCGGCCCGTAGGCCAACCTAAAACATATTGCAAAGTATCCCGAGGCACACGGCATCTGGACTGGCGAAACCCTCTACAAAACCATGCGAGATGTTCCCAACTTGGAATTTCATCACTAGCACTGTATTGTTGGTTTTGTCAATACAATATAAATACATACATATATGTTTATGCATGCCTGCGGACCGAAAACCGCGCTCGTAAAACGCACGTTTTTGAATATCGCTATTTTGGGGTGGGGTGGGGTGGGGGAGTGGGGGATGTTAACGTACCTGGTACTTCGTAAATGATCTATTGCTACGCTGCTGAGATCTCTGGGATCGTTTTCTACGTTACATGTTGCTACGCTGCTGATGGGGTGGGGTGGGGTGGGGGGGGGGGGTGGGGGATGTTAACGTACCTTGTACTTCGTACATGATCCATTGCTACGCTGCTGAGATCTCTGGGATCGTTTACTACGTTACATGTTGCTACGCTGCTGATGGGGTGGGGTGGGGGGGGTGGGGGATGTTAACGTACCTTGTACTTCGTACATGATCTATTGCCATACTGGAACCATTGATGCTGCATGGTCTGCTGTTAAGAACTTCATCCCCAATTCATTGAGTTCAAAAAGCAAAGATCTTCTCTAGTATGTCAAGTGCTGGCAATGGCGATATGTCAATGGACACAGTCGCCTCCAGCAAAAAACTATCTCGACGCTGAAACGCCTGGTCTGACAAAGGATGAAAAAGGGTCTTGCACATTTTCAAAAAACCCACACGAAACGCAAATTTGGCCAAATTTGCGCGCCCAAATTTGGCCAAATTTTGCCTATCAAACTGTGTGTTTCGCTGTAGCGAAAACAATATTTTTTTTTGAAAACGTGCGTTTTGTGAGCGCAGTTTCCGGTCCGCCGGGATGTTTATGCATATCCCCATGATGAACCCAATCATTTTATTAAATTTCCATCCCTAAAATCTTAGAAAGTTGTTGGTTCCTTGAATGTAGCTATGTAGATTTTACCCAAGTCTACCCACACAGTGGTTTTGCGTGGATTGGAGTCAGTCCAAGCATGTGCGAAAAAAAACATTTTTCGGACCTTGAAAAATTGTTTTTAGGAAAACAATGTTTCAAGCGTTTTCTTCAAGCTATTGAGGAAAACAATGTTTCAGGTCCCCAAGCCTATCCACATATGGATTTTGGGTGGAATGGAAGCAGTCCAAACATGCGCGCAAAAAACAATATTTCGGAGCTTGAAAAATTGATTTTCTGCAAAGCCTCCGTTTTCTTCAAGCTATTGAGGAAAACAATGTTTCAGGTCCCCAAGCCTATCCACATATGGCTTCTGGGTGGAATGGAAGCAGTCCAAACATGCGCGCAAAAAACAATTTTTCAGAGCCTGAAAAAATGATTTTCTGCAAAGCCTTCGTTTTCTTCAAGCTATTGAGGAAAACAATGTTTCAGGTCCCCAAGCCTATCCACATATGGTTTTTGGGTGGAATGGGAGCAGTCCAAACATGCGCGCAAAAAACAATTTTTCGGAGCCTGAAACATTGATTTTCTGCAAAGCCCAATTTCATCCCGTAAGACAATATAAGGGGCCACGGCAAAAAAAAATGAACCGCTAAAGGGAATTGCAAACCTCGCGTATAAGCGGTAATTTAAGAATTTGGCAATCCTACTCCAGGGTCCCTCAAATTCTTAAAGTACTATGTTTTGGTATACCTGAAAATATGTAGCCCGCCTTGGATTCGAGCCCCTCAAATTCTTATACAATGAATTCTTGTACAATACTCAAGCTGTATGTGATTTAGCTCATTCAAAATGGATCAAAATGGGGTAAAACACCATACACATTTTCATTAGTAATTGCTTACATCCCGCTTTTGATGATTTTCCAAACCATTTCTCACAAGTTTTGATGGTGAGATCCAGCCATATACCAAATTGTTGGTTATATCTCCATCATTCTATCCCATTACATCCCTCTGAAATGGTTTCTTCAATATCATCAAATCACCTTTTTTTTGATGGTTGTATCACCAGTCCTGACGCTTAAATCCTCACAGCTCAGACAATAAAAATATAAAACATATGGTTCAATCCTATGATGCTTAAATCCAAGTTTTTGATGTTTATATGTTTTTCATGCAGCAATTTTTGGTGAAAATCCGTTGTTTGTGCTGGAAAAATCCGAACTCTCCGAAATCTCCATCGCACACTCTGAGGCCCGGCCTATAGAAAAAACCAGGGAGTCAAGGAGGAACGGCATGTTACTGGTTGACCTATGTTGATTGGGACTTGTCTATGTTGCAAAATGGGGTATATCCCCTAGTGTTATGGTTAGTTTACTAGGGAAAATTTTGATTGAGCATTGGACTTGGGGCAGCCTATTCTCAGACAAACCCATGTAGTGGGATTAAACATGGGGTTTAACAATGATTCATGTAGTTTTAGCCACCAAACTTATGATGGGATATATATATATATATATACACTGCTACTAATGTGTATAATGGAAAAAATGATGGCTGATTGAATACTACAGAGGGTTATTCACCTACCGGACTATGAACAAGTGCAGCACGAAGAAGGCGTCAATTGTGTATTGGGGAAATCCCAAGTTGGTTGGGGATGGATATGGATATTGATGGTTTAACATTTAGTCGGACCCAGCTTGAAATGTCTAGAGTTGGGTGCTATGGTGTGATAGTGGTGGTATGTTCAAGATAATGTGATTCACATTAGATTGATTTAGTAAAGTATTGTTCATTGTGAAGCCACAAAAACTTCATATTCACATCCTTCGGGGTGTTGGAATCGTAAGTGTGTAAACCAGAACATTTTTGCCAAAAACCGTAAATGGGAGATCTTGAACCAGACACGTCACGGGCACACACTTGGATCCTCAGGGCGTATATTTAGTCATCCTGGAGTAGATAGAATATGGAATTCTAAAACAAACACGACAATGTGGCTGTCTTTGAGAATCCCATTTTCTACTTCAAGAAAATTATGCTTATATATATATATATGTATGTATGTATGTGTGCGTGGTTATATATATATACAAAATATGAATCGTGTATATATAATATATCGTGTATATATATATATATATATGTATACTATATACTGTATATGATATGATATATATATATAGATCAATGTTTAGAGGATGAAATCTGGCAGGAGGCTGGCAAGCACCGTTGGTGGGCAGACCTTAGTGACGTGGCGTCGACTCGACTCGACGTGACGGCCTGGCCTTGTTGGACTCGACATGCGGTGAGAAATGGGGATTTTCGCGAAGAAAACAACATAGCCATGGAAAAATCAGCATTTTTAATAGGTAAACCATCTATTTCTATGGGCCATGGCTTTCTAAATCTATCTTTTCGCGATTCTTGTAGGACTATGGCCATTTACCAGTTATAACTGGTTATTTCTCTGGGATTATACATTCTATAAATGGGGTTTTCTTAGTACTTATAACTAATAAATGGCCATAACTGTAGGACTATCCATGCTAAACAGATTTAATGGGAATCAACCTGAGGAAAAAAATCTGATGTCAACGATCTGATTGGAATATTCTGATGGGAATATTCTGATGGGAATATTGATGGATGATGTTACCCTCTGGTTATGACATTGCCAGTTTGCCATGGAAAGATCTACCATTTTTCATAGGTAAACCATCTATAAATGGGCCATGGTTTCCATGGCTATGTTAGATAACCTTTTTTTACCAATTGATGATGCATATATATATATATATATTCCATATGCTCCATGTATGGTATATTTACCTACAAAACTGGGTGATTTTTGTTCGGGCAAATGTTGGTAAATATTCCATAGATGGAGCATATGGGATATAAATATATATATATATATATCCACAACATAATTTCTATACTATGATTTACAAAATACTATATAAATCGGTTGAGTGATTGTAACCAACAAAAGAAAACATGGTTTAATAATAATCCCCGTCATGATGATGATCATCATGATCATCGTATCATATACATATATGTGGGGTTGTAAAACAAAAAATTGGGTTTTACCATGGAACAAAGGAGTTTCACCAGGACACAACAGCTTTACTCCGAGGAAAAAAAAACATGATTTTACATGAATAGATGCGATTTACCAATTAAAACATGTTATATAATTCAACCAACAAGATCTCGGGAGGTAAACATTAAACATGGGGAGTGAACCACCACAAAGGATGGGTGAAACCAGTATTATGGGGAGTTAATCAACAAACATTTGAGTTTTTGGCCAAAAACATGAGGTTCAAGGAGCAAAAAAACATGTTTGGTTTCACCTCAAAATTTGCCTCTGTACGGGCACCGGTCAAACTTTCCCAGTTCGGCCGGGTCATGTTCAAAAGGAAACTGTTCCAGTTGCCCTAGATTTTGGAATCACCGGAGGAAATTGGCCTCAGAGAACCAGATGTAGCAAGCAACGAAGGTGCCATTTTTATGGGTGGTCCCATTGGAAGGGATGCCATTTGACACAGCTGGTATCTCAACCCACCCATATCGACTGCAAGGAAATCATGTTGATCTAGGGAACGTAAGTTCGGTCATCATGAAACGTTATAGTTCCAGTAGTTCATGCAAAGATGTGTTTCTTCGAATTTCCAGCCTAGCAATTCATTTTTCCCAACTGGAGAAGAACTGTTTAAAAATCCTTCAATGAAGATGGCGAGTTGAATGATAATAAAACCATAATAGATGGAATGTTGTAGTGGATATTATGGGAGCTAATGTGTTGTGGGATGTTGTTTTTTTTTGGGGGCATGTTATTGGGAGAATGTTTTTCCCTTGACATCCTTGCAATTGCCTTTCCCCTAATGTTAAATTCATTTAAAAAGATCCCAGTTTAATATTGATACCTGGTTGGTGGTTTGGAACATTTTTTATTTTTCAATATATTGGGAATAATCATCCCAACTGACTTTCATATTTTTTAGAGAGGTTGAAACCACCAGCCAGGTACCATTAGACCTGTTCAGATTGGGGCCCTTATGGGAGGTGGTTCATATGATCAGGGAGAGGATCGTCCGGAAATCAATTGGCCAAAATTTATGGTACCAATGTCAACTAATCCCTCCCACCCAATATTGAATCAACCCAAACGAAACCCTTGTGAAATGCCATAAAATGTGTGTTTTCTTTGGCCAACCTTCATTTTTTCATCATTTGTGTCGGTGAAATCACAACTTGTCACCATTCGAATTATGCTTAAACAACTACTTAATACCACTTACTTTTACTCAATTACCGTGTTTGATGGTTTATTTAACCATGGTTAAACCAGGGTGAAACCCACGGAGTTTTGTTGCAAAATTTGATGCAAAACACGTCCCGGGCCCCTGGGTCCCGGGCCCGCGATTCCCAGGTGATCTCTGCCCACTGTCCGGCTTTCCCATTGCCCATCTTCCGTGCGCCGGGTTGGGTTTCTGGGTCGGCTTGGGCAAGTCGTAGAGGTAGCCCCAAATCATAGAGCCATTAGACATGGCTAAACGTATTATCTGGTTGGTGGTGACTGGAACCATGGAATTTTCTGACTTTCCCATCATACTGGGAGTGTCATCATCCCAACTGACTTTAACTCCATCATTTTTCAGAGGGGTTCAAACCACCAACCAGTATTGAAACATAATGGCCCCATGGTGACTTGAACATCCACCAAGAAAATCGACACCAGGAGTCGAGCATTTCATGCATCCACTGTAGGTCCTCATATATGCTTTTATAGGGATAATCATAGGGATATAGGACCAGAAATCGGATATCCATGGATACCATTTTGCAAACTGGAAAGATCCACCATGCTATTTTCAGAATGGGTAAGGGTAAATCCACTATGACTCGACTGGGCCATGGCTTCAATAGCAAACTGTTGACATAACCAGAATAACTATGAAAAATCACCATTTTTAATGGGTAAATCCACTATAAAAGGCCATTTTCAATAGCTATTTTGACATAGCCAGAGGCTATACTCTCCGTTGTTTACATCGTGGCTGGTTTCCGCCAGTGATGTTCCGCCTCCATAGGATGAGTCTCAGATATTCCCAGAGGGTAGCTGGAAATGTGGGCCCCCGTGCACCGTTTACGATGCCTAAGTTGGTGCACATACCTCCATGGTTTATAGGTGATATATCAACATTATGCAATTCAAGCAGGGTGATGTTTTTCTAAGAAAAAATCTAACTGTAATGGTTTATGGTTATGGTTTATGATACTTACAACTAACATCTATAGTTAATTAATGGGGTTTATAAACCCAATAAGAATAACTCTATAACTAAGGGGCCCCGCATTGTACCTAAAACATCCTAAAACAATGACTTACCTTCTCAGGGGGATGGAGGCTACCTTCTCAGACAGCTCGCGATTTGGAGGATTTTGGCGGATCTCGTAGGTTATCCCCTATGCCAAATGCTCCATGCCTTTGTCCAAAATCACCCAGTTTTGTAGGTAAAATGGTAGTTATATACCAGCACCATGGTTCGCATATGGGATCTATTTTAGTGGGTGGACGAACCGCGATGATTCACGAAATTTACGACATTTACGATGATCCTCCGAACATCTTTTTGGGCATTCCAAGATATAGTACAGGTACGCCAAAGATTAGATTTAGTCAGAGAAAATGGGGATGAACACATTTTGTTTCATTGACTTAGTAGATATATACTTCAACATAGGGATTGAAAGCAACGTGGGATACACGAATATGGAACTTCTTGTGTATTGGCTGGGCAAGTTACACTATTTGGAAGATCACCCCATGAATCCTACCTGCTTGGTAACTGGGGCTACAGCAGTCATTAACGGGATAAGTCACGAAACATGAGCAAGAAAGGGATGAACATGTGTGGAAAAGTGAAGTAACACATCAACCATAGGTGTACTGCAGCGCAGAAAGACTCAAAGGATCTCAAAGGACACCAACACCACTGCAGCGAGGTGACGTCAGCAACTCCAAATGGACATGGGAATCAACATTTGAGAGCCCCCGAAAGCAACATAAAGCGATTCTGGTCATTCTTGACATTTGGGGATGGGTTAAAACCCTATCCCCCTTTTGTGAACATCAAAATAGCTGGGTTAAAATGGATGTTCATCCCCCTAAAAATGGTATGTATAGGTATTGATCCATAGCCATTTAACTTTTCTTTTTGGGCCAACGGATTTTCAGCTAACTAGCCACATCCGAGATGTCCAGGCCATCAAAGTGGTCTTCTGTTACCAGAAAGGGAGGACTTAGCCTAGCCGGCTTAGAAGCTGCATGGTTCAATGGTCACCAACAAAATCAACATATGGTTGATCAATGGCTCCGTGTTGTCCAAGAACATCTTTACCAATGTCCATTTCAAATCCCGAGCTTGGACTCCAAAAGGCCCTTTTTTTTGGCATTTCGTGGCATTTCGTGGCATAAAACCGCGCCAGGTACCCCCCGTTCAAATTGCAGGTGGCCAAAGGTCAAGGTCACAATTTTTTTGATGGTCAGTTCCTGATGCTACACATCCTCAGTCACTTGGATTTCTGCTGGGTTTGCTCCATGGAACTGGGAAGTTCTCTTTTCGATGTCTTTGGGGACTCAATTCATTCATGGGCTCTGAAAATGAGTGATGCTTTACCATCTATCTATAATACCCATCATTGATGGCGAGAATTTCTGGTGTTTTCTGATTGAAAAATCCTAGGTCAATCTCAATATGGGTACTTTACTCCTTTAGTCTTTTGGTATTAATGGGAATATCTACGTTCACCAGCAAGGAATTTGTGATTTTTTGCAGGGTATCTACTAAGACCACAAAATGAAGATATTTTCACTTTAGGCACTTAATGAAGATATTAGTAGTTATATGAACTTATCATAGAAGTGTTTTTTCTTTATTTTTACTTATTTTCACTTATTTTTCAATGTTTTTTTGATGATCAGAATTGATTATAGACGATGCATTTTTCTGTTATATATTTTTTGAAAATAGTTGTCGACCTTTTTGTTTCCTTTGGAATATTTTTTTCTTGCCTTTTTTCATTGTTTTTTTTCATTCTTTTCAGGCATCATCCTTTTAGAAATCACCCTTTTCAGGATTTATCCTTTTCAGGAATTATCCTTTTCAGGACTTATCCTTTCAGGATTTTTTTTATTCAGAATGAATCCTTTTCAGGAACTATCCTTAACAGGAATCTTTCTATTCAGATTGATTTCATTTTCAGGAACAATGCTTTTCAGGAGTTATCTTCTACAGGAAATGGTTCTTCTACAGGAATATGCGCGGCTGCGAGTGACACAAAGAATCTTGAAGTACATCTGTGGAGAAATCATTCAGAGGCAAAAGGAAAAAAACATATAAAGGATGCTTCTTGGAAAGAACAATTGCTCTTTTGATGTGTCTTCTTCAATTGTACACGACTGCCCAGAATGAGATCTTTCACAACATGAGGCTTCGGTTACTACTTCCAAACTACATAATTCAGGGATGAAGATGGATACCTAATTTGGAAAATATTCTATTATATTTTTTTGTTGGTAAAAGATTTAAAGCTAGCTGGCTTGCTTTTTGTTTTGAAAATGTATTTTCTATAATTGCTATTTATGTTTTATTGTTCATATTGTTCTACAATTTACTTTCTTTTGATTTCGCATACTTTGTTCATACGGTTTTTTTGCTGAGATTTTGGTGGTTGATTAATCGCAGGGAATTATTAATCCTAACTTGACATTATTATAAATACTTACTTATCCTTTTTTTTCTCTATAAATATTTCCTGAATTTTCTGAAATTTCTGAATTTTCTGAAATTTCTGGATTTTCTGAATTTTCTGAATTTTCTGAATTTTCTGAATTTTCTGAATTTTCTGAAATTTCTGAAATTTCTGAAATTTCTGAATTTCCTGAATTTTTTGAATTTTCTGAATTTTCTGAATTTTCTGGGTTTCTGAATTTTCTGAATTTTCTGAATTTTCTGAATTTTCTGAATTTTCTGAATTTCCTGAATTTTCTGAATTTTCTGAATTTTCTGGGTTTCTGAATTTTCTGAATTTTCTGAATTGTTTTCCTTTTAATTTAAATTGTAAATTCTGAATTTTCTGAATTTTCTGGGTTTCTGAATTTTCTGAATTTTCTGAATTTTCTGGGTTTCTTAATTTGGTGAATTTTCTGAGTTTTCTGAAATTTTCTGAATTTTCTGAATTTTCTGAAATTTCTGAATTTTCTGAATTTTCTGAATTTTCTGAATTTTCGGAAATGTCTGAAATTTCTGAGTTTTCTGAATTTTCTGATTTTTTCTGAATTTTCTGAATTTTCTAAATTTTCCTTTCCAGGAAGTATCCTGCAGAGAACTATTCCCTACAAATTTTTTCCTTTCCAGGAAGTATCCTGCAGAGAACTATTCCCTACAAATTTTTTCCTTTCCAGGAAGTATCCTGCAGAGAACTATTCCCTACAAATTTTTTCCTTTCCAGGAAGTATCCTGCAGAGAACTATTCCCTACATTTTTTTTCCTTTCCAGGAAGTATCCTGCAGAGAACTATTCCCTACAAATTTTTTCCTTTCCAGGAAGTATCCTGCAGAGAACTATTCCCTACATTTTTTTTCCTTTCCAGGAAGTATCCTGCAGAGAACTATTCCCTACAATTTTTTTCCTTTCCAGGAAGTATCCTGCAGAGAACTATTCCCTACAAATGTTTTTCCTTTCCAGGAAGTATCCTGCAGAGAACTATTCCCTACAAATGTTTGCCTTTCCAGGAAGTATCCTGCAGAGAACTATTCCCTACACAATTTTTCCTTTCCAGGAAGTATCCTGCAGAGAACTATTCCCTACAAATTTTTTCCTTTCCAGGAAGTATCCTGCAGAGAACTATTCCCTACAATTTTTTTCCTTTCCAGGAAGTATCCTGCAGAGAACTATTCCCTACATTTTTTTTCCTTTCCAGGAAGTATCCTGCAGAGAACTATTCCCTACAATTTTTTTCCTTTCCAGGAAGTATCCTGCAGAGAACTATTCCCCACACAATTTTTCCTTTTCAGGAAGTATCCTGCAGAGAAATTGTCCCTACATTTTTTTTTCCTACCATTTTTTTTTCCAAATAGGCGCCTTCAGAGAATTGTTCTTTAGCAGCATATTCCTGTTCAGGAAGGTTTCGTCAGAAAAGTAGTGCTCTGAGACAATATTGTTTCGTCGAAAATCAACATTCCTGCGAATCTATCAAACACACATAAAAATCAAATTTCACTTCTTATCACTTCTTTTCGCTTATTTTGGCTTATTTTTGACTAATATTCTACTATATTTGCTTATATTTTCCTTATTATGTTATAAGTTCACCTAAAAATTTAGTGGAACTTATAACAAAATATTTTTGAAAAAAACAATTTGAACAAGATATTAGAAGGATAATAGTAACTTATAGTATACTTATAAATTCATTAAGTGCCTAAAGTGCAAATATTTGCATTTTGTGGTCTCAGTAAGATTTCAATCCATTGGAAAGCTGTTGGAATTCCCCCTATTTTTTTGTCAATTTGGACCTCATTTTTGTCAGATCCGATGTCGTAGGGAACCGAACCAAAAACGGAGCCTCCGTGAGTTCTGATTCCGTCACAAGCGGCGATTTCGGGGTGTGGAAAGAACGTATCTTGTTGAACATCCTGAAGCCACTGATTGAAATTTGGAGATCTATAGAAAGCTGGAAAAAGATAGGAAAGTAACATCCTACTATAGTGGGGCATTCCTTGTCCATCTTTGTTGGGATTGAGAAATTTCACATTCCACCAGTGTTTCTGATGTTTCTGAGTGTTGATGAACAGGGAACAGGAAATCCATGATGAGTGGATTAAGTGTAGAACACGGGGGACCTAACAACCGAAAAAAAGCAGAAACCGTGGATTTCAGAGGATACAGAGACATTGTCACATGGTTTTTCGAAACAGTTCGAACCATTGGAACAAGACAAGTACTGTAGATGTCTTTAAACATTTCAATTATGTGTTGTGTGAATGATAAGTTACTTAACAGGAACAAATGCAGAACACAAACACACAAATAAAACGAGGAAACGCACACATGTACAATAATTCGACCAAGTCACAATGCCGTCATTCCACCAAATAGCCATATCGGGGGGAGGGAGGGTAACTTTAAGGATCTTGTGTAAATTCGGCCGAGAAGATCAACTGCTGTGTCTCCACTCTCAGGGTTGGATATATCATCAAACCATGTTTTTCCCCACCTGCCAGGTGAGGGTTGTTAGATTTTATCAGGGTTGTTCTTCTCCTCCTCCTTCCTCCTCCTCCTTCCTCCTCCTTCTCCTCCTCCGCGTCCTCCTCCTCCTCTTCTACCACCTCTGCCTCCACTTCCACGTCCACTGTTGCCTTGCCAACTCTTGGCCAAGCTCTTCGCCAACTTCGGAGCTCAGTGCGCACTGCTGGACCTCAACCTGGGACCTTCCCAGCTCAATGCGCACCGCTGGACCTCAACCTGGGACCTGCCGAGCTCAGTGCGCATCGCTGGACCTCAACCTGGGGCCTTCCGAGCTCAGTGCACACCGCTGGACCTCAAAAGCGAGATAGAATGCCAGAAGATATGCCAGGCTGCCAGATAGAATGTCAGATAGAATGCGAGAAGATATGCCAGATAAAATGCCATAAAATATGCCAGATAAAGTGCCAGGAGATATGCCAGATAGAATGTTAGAAGATATGCCAGATAGAATGCCAGAAGGTATGCCAGATAGAATGCCAGATAAAATGTCAGATAGAATGCCAAAAGATATGCCAGATAAAGTGCCAGAATCTTTGCCAGATAGAATGCCAGAAGATTTGAGTAGATAATATGCCAGAAGATATGCCAGATAGAATGCCAGAAGATATGCCAGATAGAATGCCAGAAGATATGTCAGATAGAATGCCAGAAGATTTGCCAGTAACAAAATGTATAAATGTCATGGTGGGGATCACACGAAGTAAAGTAATTGATTGCATTTTTTTTTGAACAATGAAGGCTTGATTTGCGTGGTCTATGTGTCCCAACCGGGTGTGCATTCCTTTTTCCGGAAAAGAACTTCTTCGTGTATGATATTTGGGTTGTGCATGTGGTATTCACCTCATTTGCGGGGCCGGACAGCATTTACAACCATTATGCCACCATCTTATGCATTATTGACAGCCGCCCAGGGACCTTCCCAATGTCAGCAATGACGAAATTCCTGGTTGATTGAGCACTGTATGGCGCTATATTGCCCTTTTATGTTGGGGATTGTCACAATCCACTATTTCCCATGTTCAACCCAAACAACATACAGAGATGACAGGTTGATTAAACCGATAGATATACGAATTGTCTATAATATTCTTAGTGGTATTCCATGGGGTATTCCCCATTCTATCCATATCATTCCCATCACATATGCCTGGGATTTATGGGGTTAGCCACTGCTTTTTATCGGAACATCTCTGGTTCTCAGGCAGTTTCAACTTTGAGATTTCGGGTCGTTCGCTCACGCAGCAAGAGATTCAGGCGGAAGCGGACGCGTTTTTTTTGCCCGGAGGGGTAGTAACGGGCTGCGGGCTGCCCAAACGATTTTTTATTTTGGATAATAGTGGGCCAACAATTGGAAAATAGTTGGATAGTGATGGATAATCGTGAGATATCAATATGGATTTACCCTCTGGTTATGACTAACAGTTTGCCATGGAAGCCATTGAAGCCATGGCCCTAATCGAAATAGATGGCTTACCGTTCTTAATAGCATGGTGGATCTTTCCATGGCTATGTTAGTCATAACCAGATGGTAAACTATACTAAACATACCTAAATATGACATAATATGACTAAACTATATTAAGCTAACTGTTGGAACTATGTTGTTTTTCCCGAGAGCGTCTGACCGCAGGGTTCTTCCAATAGTGGGGGTCTGTCTCTCATCTTCTCATCTTCACATCTTCTCATCTTCACATCTTCATCTCATCTTCACATCTTCACATCTTCTCATCTTCACATCTTCTCATCCTCACATCTTCTCATCTTCACATCTTCTCATCTTCACATCTTCTTCTCATCTTCACATCTTCATCTCATCTTCTCATCTTCACATCTTCTCATCTTCACATCTTCTCATCTTCACACCTTCTCATCTTCACATCTTCTCATCTTCACATCTTCTCATCATCACATCTGCTCATCTTCACATCTTCACATCTGCTCATCTTCATATCTTCTCATCCTCACATCTTCACATCTTCACATCCTCACATCTTCACATCATCTCCTCTTGCCCTCTTGCCCTCTTGCCCTCACATCTTCACATCTTCTCCTCTTGTCCTCTTGCCCTCTTGCGCTTTACTTCTTTTCTATTTCTCTTCTGCAGGGCAGTGCCAACAAGACGGCACGAAACGCAACCCTTTCGCACGAAATGAGGTTCGATCGCCAAAAATTGAGGTAAAATTGCGATTTCAAGTCGTCCCGCGCAACCATTTCGCACGAAATGATGTTCGATCGCCAAAAACTGAGGTAAAATTGCGATTTGCAAGTCGTCCGGCGCAACCCTTTCGCACGAAATGAGGTTCGATCGCCAAAAACTGAGGTAAAATTAAGTTAATTTAGTTCTAAGTGGGCCTAATTTAGATGTAGCTGGGCTTGAAAACATAGAGCCAACATGGTTCCTACACTCACATGGATCAAACAATTCCATTCCATGGATCTTGACTTGACACATGTGATTTAGGGGCCGGCTGCTAGGACCACTCAATGAGTCCTGTGTATACGCTGCCTCCATCCCCACAATAATATTCTTGATGTCCTCATCCAGTGTGGGTAAACCACAGGTCACACAGTGGACCCTACAGAGCATTGTATCCTGATGCTCTGCAGTGTGAAGGACACGCACTCACGACCCACAACATGCATAAATTGAGTTTAGCTACAGAACCCTAAAAGATATCACCATACATGATGGTTTGTCACTATTCAATGTGGGGCTACATCTAGCTAGTGGTGAAGTTTAATACGAAACGATTCCCCCAAATTACACAAATTAAAAAAGGAGAGTCTTACAATCATGGTTTCTTTTCTTTCAGGATGCAGATTTATTACGGTCTAGATGATTTTCAGAAGATATACTGTAAACAAAGGAGACATCATGGCCCAAAACCTTGGAAATTTATCTGTTGTTGTGCTTTGGCAATCGCTTGTCATTGTCCTGTTTGTCAGTCATCGCTGCTGCCAGTGTCAGCCATAAACTGGACAATCGCAATCCTGATTGTTCCAAATGGCGCCTGGCAAACATTGAACCTGGTATGCATACATGGTGCCTTTAGCTCTTCCGCGCATCCTGGATTTGTGAGGCATCATGCTCCAGACATACCTTGACCAACCTCAGAGACTCAGGTCGTCCAGCACACTGGACCGTCGACCCTCTTTTGCACTCTGTTGGTTCCCGGGTTGGCCGTCCGGGGGGGTTAATGGGAGGCCATTCTTTCAGGCTGGGAAGCCATTTATCAGGCTGGGAAGCCATTTATCTGGCTGGGAAGCCATTTGTAAGGCTGGGAAGCCACTTGTAAGGCTGGGAAGCCATCCAGGCTGGGAAGCCGTTTGTCAGGCTGGGAAGCCGTTTGTGAGGCTGGGAAGCCTTTTTATCAGGCAGGGAAGCCTCAGGACTCAACATGTCCATCGGCCTTGATTGATTCCCGAAGTTTGGGTGGATTTTGCCTTGGGATGATCAATTTTCCATAGGGAAGATCAAACACCATCGCTTCAGCAAATTCAGGTTTTCCAGGTTTCCAACCTTTAGTTCTATCCTTTTTGGGGCTTGGGGAACAAAAAAAGGAGATACCATCATCTTTTTTCCAAGCCCTGAAAATCTGGGTTTCCAAGCTGCAGCAGCCACCACAACCTTGGCAAACATGACATAACTCCTTGACATTTTTAGATTTGCTCACTGCCGTCCTTGGGCTGCGCCTGTCCTCCCATGAGCGTGCAAACCTCAGAGAAAAAAATCATTCAGGTCTCAATTCATGTCAGTGAAGGGCAAAATTTTGACTGAACCAGTTTTTGAACTCGATATCATTTTTGCTCAAGAACATTTTCAATTTTCCCGCCAGCCTGCCGACCAGCGATTCGAAGTGAGTGGTTGCAATGGCCGTGACTTGTGACCGCGATGCAGCAGTCTGGGGTTTGGACAGTGGCACAGTGGCAACCGCCCCATTGGCAGACAAAAGACAGGGTTGGCCCAATGTGTCTTTTGTTCAATTTTTTTAGACATGAGGGAACGATAGGAAACATGTTTGCAAGAAAATCCCATTCCTGATGACCACCTGACAGTGTCTGGAGATGAATACTGGGGTGACAATGGATGCTTGGCATGGCTTTTTGGATGGAGGGTGGAATTGTAAATCCTTCCAATCAAATGCAGGTTTTTGATGTTTTTTTGGTGGTCTAGATTTTTTTTTCCCAATCAAATACTTGTCAGGCTGGCAGCCATTGAGCCTTCCCCTGGAGACGTGCCACCTTGGAGGTGAAGATCCCATGGGAGCTGTGCCGGATCCCACTGAGGAGACTGAGACTTCGAGTTTGCCGAGCGACAACACGGCTGTGGCGGATCCCAACGAGGACAAGACGACTGTGACCATCCAAGCGCCCAAACGCCGCAAAGTGTGTTGCAGCTTTGATATCTATCCTGAGGACAAGGGATCTAAGTGAAGACCTTGATGGGAGAAATTCTTTGAAATCCCCTCAGTTTTCCAATCTGAAATGACTGTGGCTTCCAATTTTCAAGTCCTTTGGATGGGTGGTAGCAGGCTGATGACATTGGGTCTGGGAAGACCACATTCCCAAATTGTCTGGGAAGACAAACTTCCAATTTCCCAATCCGTCTGGGAAGACAATTTTTACCGCCGTGGATTTCCCCAATGGTCTGGGAAGACAGATTTTAAGGTGCAGTGCCACAGTGCGCACAAACCACCAACTGAGCAAATCGACAGGATAGAAAAATGATTTCTCGCTAAGCCACATCTCTGTGCCAGATATCGTTTTCTTAGATCATGAGTTGATGTCATTGACTTGGTGATACTTCTTTTTGTTTTGTTGAGCCATGCCCGTTCTGAGGTGCGATGTTGTATGCTGGAAGCTGCCAACCTCTCAGTGGTGATCCTTTCATTCCTCTTCTGATGATTTTCTGTTACTGCTTTTTGTTTTGTCGAGCCATGTCAATTCTGAGGTGCGACGTTGTATGCTGGAAACTGCCAACCTCTCAGTGGCGATCCTTTCTGATGATTTTCGTTTTTGGGAAACGAGACAAGCAAACCCAGCCAATCTTCACATGACTTCCCAGTCAAGTACAAACTTCCCAGTTTGTTTCGGCCTGGGCCGAGGTTGGCAACACCTCCAAGCCAGTCGATGGCGCCTCAGACAGGCTTGTCATCACCACGTGGCATTCAATTCAAAGACCTTCAATTCAAAAACAAGGTTGTTTCAAATTCAAAGACCTTCAATTCAAAAGATCTGCACCATGATTTGTATCATGATTAGAACCAAGATTTGCATCATGATTTGATTCCTAAGTCAAGATCCTTCCGCCAGGGATTGTGGACATCTGATTCATATGTTGGGGGCCCAAGTGCTCAGGGAGCGTTGAAGTTCAAGTGCAACAAGATTGAATTGGCAAACCATTGTAATCAGGCTGGGAAGCCATGACCATAATTAAGAGGCCAGAAAGTGCATCGCTCAGACTGTCACTACATCCGGCTGCATTTACTATGTGTTTTTCATGTGCCATGATCGAAGTTGTTGTTCATTGTGATTTTGCCTGAGGCACTCACTATTTGGATGCTGGGAAGCTACGCATTGGTGTGCGTAAAAGCTTCTTTGTTTAAAAGCTTCTGTGTGTAAAAGCGCCTGTGTGTAAAAGCGCCTGTGTGTACAAGCTTCTGTGTGTAAAAGCGTCTGTCTGTAAAAGCGTCTGTGTGTAAAAGTTCTGTATGTGAAGAAACTATACGAAAGATACGATGCAAACTATTGTCTTGTGTTTGTGATATATTGTCTCGATACTACTCTTCTCGTCTGCCTATTATACATCTTTAATATATTGTCTTCTAATATAATTTTTCCATACTAACACCAGAAGGCTCTGCTCCTCTACGCCCTCGGGCCAACCGTCGTCTAGTTGTTTTTTTGGCATGGACCCATTTGCGCATGTGAAAGTTTCCCAGATCTGTGCGTTGTTGCTGCTGCCATTGCTGTTCATTTCAGCCGGTACCGATGGAGCTGCTCTTAGGTGAGCTGGCGCGCATTGGCGCCGCAGCCCCAACAGGGGCTGCGGTGCGCAAGGTGTTCAAGAACACCGCCTTGGCGTTCTGGCTCCCAGCTTTGCCTTGTGGATTGTAGACATTGGCATTGGCTGGTTCGACCCAGTGACCCCCAAGGCTTGGATATTTGCGGCCCAGGGCCATTCCCGGGCTGGTAACGTTTTGCAACCCAAGATCGCATTTTTCTAAACTAGGTGGCTCAAGAAAGGCCCTGGC